GTTGTAAGGTTTATATTATACAAATAAATGTAGTACAAAAATATAAGGAAAATGAAATGTTATTAATCGCGCCAGTAAAAGATAAATAATAATAACAATATATCGAATCATAGAATAATAATAAAGTTTTATTCATTTTGTGTTTGTATTATATTTTTTAAAAGTATGTGCACCTAAAGTGCGGCCCGTTGTAACGTTATTTGAGTTGGCCAGGCCTGTACTAAACCTTCTGATTAATTCTAATAAATCGAGTCCCTCACGGAAGCCTTCAATAGCAGAAATCTGTGTAAACGTGCTATTAAATAAAAACCCTAGACAAATCTTTCCCTGCTCCTTTTATCTCCCACATCCCTATTACTCCTTGTATGCGCCAATAATTTTGCGTCTCACTGTACCTCCCCACTTAAAAGCTTAATATACACCAACCTAATAATTGCCTTCGCATTTAAGACCCCTCTACCCTCTTCTTATCACAGCCCCGACTCTTTCGCTGCGATTTACGCGCGCGGTAAAAACGCCTTCGAATTCGAAACGCGTGGAAAACGACGGAGATTAAATCGGCGCAACAATTTCAAATGGCGAAACGGCATTAATTACCCGTCTATCATCGCACGCGCAATTCATTCGATAACCTTCTACAAGCGAATGCACTTAATGAGGCGAGATGTCGAGCGATTTTTTCTCTACGCGGAAACCGGACGGGGCGAGTTTAGAGCACACCTCGCCCAATCGTAAAATCCTACACAAAGTCTCGGGAGCGAACGCGGTGACGCAATATGGGATTCCTGGTGAAGAAAAAAAAAATAAAGAAGGAAAAGCGAACGAATGGAATAAATTGTGGTGGAAACGGAGTAACGGGGCGTCGATGCTCTGATACTCGAATAAGAACGCGAGCACCGAAGAATATTTATGCAAATGAAAGCGTAAAACGCTCGCGATACAATTTACTCCGTCGTTATCTTGCTCTTTTACTATCGTACGGCTGCCATGGTAAACCATGGAAAACGGTTGCCCCCTCTCGGGGGCCGTGGCAACGAGGAAGCGACTTTTAATTGCAACCGCTGTACGCGACTGATGACGCGATTAATCTTCCCTCTCTCGGTTTGTCGATTCGGTAAACTGAACTCGTCGCGCGTTACCCGCGAGCGACTTCGGTTTCATTCGCTGTAGAGTTCTTAGAAATGGGGTGTAATGGGGAACAGGCTTGACTACCTGGACCAGAGTTGGTAAACGACTTGGCGAATTTACTTGTTATTATGTAACGGTTCGAACTTATCGAGACTCTTCGGGAATTCTGTACTGCAAGGCCTTGTGTTACGAAAATAAAATGAGTAGGAAGAAGTACAAGTAAGGGTTGACGAAGACGAGAAAAATTAACCCTTATTGAATGTCGGTGATTTGGACCTAATTGTTAAAGTTAAGTGTTACTAAAGATGAAGTTGAATGAAGTACTTGAATCTCAATGAAATTACAAAAATACCAGAATAAATGTTTGATTATGTAGTTTTCAATAGTCTGTGAACATAATTTAATAACGTAGACATTTTCAAGAATATTAATCTGGCAGTAAACGTGTTAAAACAAAATTTCTTTGCAATTATTTAGCGACTCGAAATGCTATAAATTTATCCTTTGAGTAATTGCAATCAATCTTTGGACATTGTTTCTTATTATTATTTAACAGTTCGAACTTTTTGAGACTCTCTTCAGGAATTCTGTAATGTATAGAAGAAGAAAAGGAATAGAAATAATTATAAGTCACCTAATCCTTATACATTAAAGTAACGAAAAATGTATAAAGTTATACCTAAAGAGGGCTTTATAATTTTATTTTTTAATAACTAAATACATCTCATAGAGAAGTCGCAGCGAACACGTTGATATGAATATAAATAAATATATTGTCTAAATCGGATATAATTCTCTACTTCAGCATTGAATTCACTCGAATACGATCGACGCCAATTACACCAGTCCAGCCACTAACTATACCCTTTTAAGGTAACAATCCCAAACTTACTTCCAAGCACTGGCGAATTTCGGAGCCAATACATAACTCACAATTTGCAAGGTCACGTGTAGAAGCAAATGCAAGAAAGAAAGGTTAAAACGAACGCGTTCCTTTTTTCAGAACTGGTACCTGGAACATTTTGGCGAATCCCTTGGCTCACCTACGCAGGTAGCTGCGCTCTGTAACACGGCTCACGGGGGCTCATTCGAGAGAGCTCGCGCTCGTCGAGTGACTCTTCGTTTACGAAGCACCGGTCGTTGGCTGAGGAGTTCCTCGGCCACGCTCCGGCGAGCCTTTTCACGAGGACCGTTTCTGGACCATTGGGACGCACGCCATGGCTCGCGTAAAAACAACAACGGACCTACCGCGACGACGCAAATAGAACCGATCCTCTTCCTGGTCGGAACTATTTTCGGGATCGTCGACGCGGCAAAAATTTATACTTCCACGGGACGGGAACAGGATGGAGCGCCGCGTCAACGGGTTGCAGTAGAACCAGCAAGAAATAGATGCATGAATGGGAAAGAAACGGGACGATTCCCGGGTGGATTGACTGAATGGCAAGAATCGGAACATGGCTAGCACGAGCGAGCCGAGAGGTAGCCTGCGCTATAAATCGTCCGTTGGTCTTGCTCGTGCATTCGTCTACTGATGTTTATCGCTTTAGTTCGGAGTTTAGCTGCGATAACTGTGGCGAAATTGCATGAAATTGCATAATGATAGCGGTGGAATTCGTGCAAGAGAGGGAATGCAGAGTTCGATCGTTTGAAGGGGTATTCTAGGCTGGAACTTTCAGAAAATCTATCTTTTGGAGGGCACTTTATAAAAGTATGAAAAAATAATCATGAGGTAATGAAGACTGGGTATAGAAATTAATTCTATGCCTTTATTGGCGATCATTTATGACTGTAGTTTAAGTAAAAATAGTTACTTGTTATTTTATTAGGGTAAATTAGCAATCCTTTAAATTCTCAACCTGAAGAAGAAAGGAGAAGAAATTTAAATTTTAAAGAAGAAGATTAAATTTTAGGGAAGATTAAAATTTGTATGCTTGATATTTATAAACAAATAGTAAATTCATTTTAGAATAACAGAAAATTAATTTCTACACCTAATCATTTTTAAATATTACTGATTCAATTACCAAAATGTAGTAAAGTATACAAACTTGGTGGTGGTATATTCCAAAAATGTGGAAAGAAATAGTGACTAGATTTTTCCATAACATTTGAAGGTATGCTCAAATATTAATTAGTTAACTCTCGGAGCAATAAGCGACAGAAATGTATAAAATGACCTAATAAATGGCATAGGGGATGGAAGATTGAACGATATTATCGAAACACCCCCAAGATCGGTCCTGTCTTACATGAAATGAAAATTTGAAGAGGTATCGGAGGTATGGTCGAAAGTATGCGAAATATTCTCGTTGAGAAAAATAAATGATGATACGCGGCAACCACGTATCCGGTGTGTCACTCGCTGGACGGCTTGCAAACGAGTCGCAGAGAATCGATTCGACACGATCTCTGGGGAGGGTTGAATGAAGAAACAGGAAGAAAAGGAAACGCAAGGACCCCACCCTTTTTACGGCCTAGGGGCCTCCAGTGGTCCTTTTTCCTTTCCGAGAGCCACTGTGGATAATTGGAACCGCACCCACGAACTCGTGCCTGGTCCTCGCGATTGTCTCGCTTTTTCTTTCTCGCCTTTCTTCCTGCGTTTCGGCTATCCGAGAAACATTAACGTTAAGGAACCCTTCCCCGAAATTCGTCTGCATTTTAAAATATAAAAGGTCTGTAACTTGGCTTAACGTCATCGAAACTCTTTCGAATTTCATACAGATACCTAATAGGGTCCATCGATACCTACTAATCCATCAAACACCCGAAAATCCATTACTGTTTATTAATATTTAACCCATTCACTGTCAACTACGACATGTGTCTCGTAGTTCAAATTGATTGCAATTACTCGAGGGAGAAGTAAATTTTCTTTTTAAAACAACAAATTTAATATCACTTTTTATTATCAAAATAATAACCTAGATTACACATCTGTATTAAATCTTGGCGTCCAAGGCAAAACGCTTTAAATTTCCTGCCAGTGAATGGTTTAACCCTTTGCACTCGAGGCTTTGTCTTCTGGTATCTATCAGCAACTCGAGATGCTTTCTTAGCATTCTATTGTCACGAATGCTAAGCTTAGATTAATTTCGAAAATGAGATCCTTAATTTGAGATTTGAGAATCAGGTCACCTTTGCATCAACGACAATCGTGTTATTGACATTTCGAGCTCCAAAGAAATTAAACCTAAAGAAAATCTAGCGGTGACTGAGAATCACCTCTCGACTGCAAAGGGTTAATTGCAAATGGGTAACTGGCAGCTAACGATGCTTTTCATTTCATCAAAGTATCCAAGGAAGTTCACGTCCGAAACAACTTCCAGTGAGACGATATTTTCTTAATGTTTGAAGAAGTCTTTCGAAAATTTGCACTGTAAAATAAGTGCTCGTATAAAGTGAACTATTTTTTTAAAAGAAACAACGTCAAGTAAAAGAAGATTTCAAACCTGAAAATGCTGATTGAAATGAAACCTTGTGTGAGTGTAAAGCATAATTGCATCTCGAAGTCTAGCATATTTTAAAATGACATAGAAAACATTTGCAAATCGTGAATGTTTTTAACCTACATCGTGATATAATGTAGCCGATACAATTCTTCTTTCTCCCTTTGCAATGTTTAGTTTCTTATTTATTTTATTTTCGAACAAACAATGGCCAGACACGCTCCTGATTATAAGCACTATGTTCTCTGTTGCCTACTGACGCAGAAATCTGATACATGCGTTAGAAACTCGCCAATAAAACATTGCAGGTAAAATTTGCATCCCTAGCGTTGGTTAAAAGTAATGGAAAAAATAATACAATTATTATACAGTCGTGAAACATTTTCCTAATTTTTAATATCAATTTAATTAGTAAATGGGGAGATGTCACGAAAGCTTTCGTTTTCGAGGATAGATCAGTGTGTTGCGATGCATCGAACGAATCAAAATCCACCAAATCACTCCACAAGTACAACTCAAAGTAGGCAAAGAAGATTGAAAGAAACTGTAACAAAATATACGAGACCTTTTCTCATTATCTTAATTTTTAAAAGGAAAGAAAGAATCTCTAACTGTGGGAACCGTAATGTGTCCGACGAATCCAGTGTCAGTACTTTAGATTTACAAAGGCTGTGTGCTACTACCAGGTAACACTTATAATTGGACCAAAAGTACCTAGAAATCGGGTAATATTGCCTATATACGAAATGAAAGTTTTATTTTCGTAGCAATAAACAAGATTCGAGTGAATCCACTTCGACTATCGAAAGTCTTCAAAAGCCACGCACCAAGTAATATAATAACAAACGGTGTGAAATTTATATTTTTCATTGGTTTAATTTTCAAAGGAAGAAGAGATCACGGATTTGTGGGAATCAGTCCGTGTGTAAAAATGCGTCAGACGACTCCACTTCCACTGGTGCAAGTTTCCATAAACCATGTATTGGGTAACAGTTGCTGTTTTAATGAAGAATATTATTAATCATTACCATACGTGGTATAAAATTATTATCTTTCTCTGTTTCAATGTTCAAAAGGAAGAAGAGATCCTGTGTTTGTGAGCTTCAGACAGTATATCAAAATGCTCCAGACGACTCGAATTCGACTACTGATAGTCTCCAAGAGCCATGCATCAGGTAAAATTTGTAATTCTAAAGAAGAAAATGAACAATCAATATAATGAATTTTAGTACGACACAACACTTTTATTTGTATGTCAACTTTTATTTTCTGTCAACATTGAAAAGGGAGAAAAAACCCTGCGTTTGTGGGATTCAGACAGTGTGCAAAGATGTTTCAGGCGACTCTAATTCCACTACTGAAAGCCTCCAAGAGCCATATGCTAGGTAATTCAATATCTTCGAATGGACAATTAAAAATTAATGTATTATGCCGTTTATTTTTTCGTTTCTCACAGAGAGCAGACAACATCCGTTTGTGAGAACCAAGTGTGTCACAATGCTTCAGACGAATTTAATTCACTAACACAAAATACGACTATAAGGTATCATCTTTTATTCCGAAAGAAGAAATTAAAATGTAATTTTTGACCACGGAATCAAATTATTTAACTGATCATTTTTTTAAAGAATAAAGAGATATTGCGCTTGTGGAAATCAGTCCGTGTGTCATAATAAATCAAACAATTCGAATTCGACCACTTCAAGTCTCCAAGAGTCATGTACCAGGTAACAGTCGCAATTCTGAAGAAGAATATGAAAGATCAACGTAATGAATTGAAAGATAAACACTTCTACTTTTATTTTCTCCAATATTTAGAACAGAGAAGAAATTACGCGTTTGTGGAACTCAATCAGTATGTTACAATGCTTCGAACGAGTCGACTTCCTCTACTGCAAGTCTCCATGAGCCATGCATCAGGTAAGACTTTTATCTCCAGAAAGTAAATCAATAAATTTCTCCTAATGTTTGCATAACTAATTCAAATTATGATCTTTTTTTCTTTGTCTTATAAGGCTGCGTAATCTGTTTAATTATTGTAACTATCGCACAAGTCTTGCACAGTGTTTTCTTTTCCATATCACATTTAAATTGTTTCACACCAATCCTTTATGTTTTACATTGTTTCTTAATTTTTTTACACGTCTATTGGGGCTCTCACTGGCTCGGGTACCTCGGGATCGCTAAACCCGTACTGTAGCTACAATCAAAGATAGCTACAGCCCCTGAGGGAAAATGTTATGCGTTTATAAAATTATAAAACGCGTAACAAGATTACCAAGGGTAAATAATAAAATTATTATACAGTACATACCATTTCACAAAAAAATGAACTCTGGTAATAAGACTACGTGCGATATTCGATAAGGTAAAGCATCGTAATAAAGTTATGCGAGTAACTTATGTAGGTATAACAACTACAGTTCTGCAGGGTAGAAATATATAAAGTAATTCAAGTGAAATATTCTTTGTATTCCTTATTTTTGTATTTATTCTTGTATTACTTTAGATTACTACGTTATAAAAGATAAATTATATAAAATACGTTCAAATGTTGGCGCGCAATCGACGCGCCATCTCGCGGTGAATACTCTGAACTAAAATCCCGACCTCCGTACAGCGCACCACCGGGAAAATGTCTAAGTTTGTCCTCGAATAGTTCCTTTCTCCACCGTTAGATGGCGCCATTAACTAATTTTAATTAAAAAATAGCGTAAAAGCACATATGTTTATGTGCTAAGCAACCATTTGATTCTGCAATTACTATCGTGTGCATTAAAATTGTTTTAAAACTGAATTTTTTTATTCTTTAGTTAATGGCGCCATCTAGCAATTGAAAAAGGAACTATTCAAGGAGAAACTTGAGCGTTTTCCTGATAGAGGCGCTGACCAAACTCCGAAATTAGTTCGATGTATTACCGCTAGATGGCGCCATTTGAATGGGTTTTTTTTATCGACAATTATCGATCATTATCATAATGTCGGTAATAACCATGCAAATGGCGCCATGTACACCATTTAAACATTTTTGTAAACAGTTCATATGATATAACTTAGTAATCTAAAATAATACGTGCACTTGTGGATGCACAAACGTTTAAAGGATATGTCACTTAAATTACTTTATATATTTTTACTGCGTCTGTGGGATTCAGACTAATATGTTATCTTTTTATAGAGAAAAAACAATTTCCGTCTGCGAACTCCAGTCAGCCTGTGACTCTAAATCGGACGATTCTAATTCATCTACTGAAGATTTCCATCGACCCTGTATTGGGTAACATTTATAACTATAAAAACGAAGAATTAAAAATTAATATTGCTGTCCTAACAGCCATAAAGACGTATTGCAATATGCATTAAATATCTTTAGATTTTGTGCCTAAATGGCCCATGGATTTCCTTTAGTTCTTATTAATAATACAATATTTATATAAAAACTATTCCCACGATAAATAAAAAACAAGAATACATTGTTTCGTTATCTCAAGTAGAACATACAGACGACAGCAGTATAACATTATCAAAATACAATACCATAGTAGTACCATATACAGTGGGTGTAGAAAGTATTCGTACACTGATCGATTTCCAAAAGAACTGTGTAAAATTGTAATTTATTAACTTCTTTTTTACATATGACACGTACATATGATACGTAATCTATCTATTCTAGAGATTTCAGAGAATATGTAGAATGTCGTTGTTTATAAAAAATAAGTTAATAAATTACAATTGTATACAGTTTGTTTGGAAATTGATCGGTGTACGAATACTTTCTACACCCACTGTATTTCAAAAATATTGCGTGAAAATTTGAAAAGAAATAGCTACTTTTTTTTGAAACAATTGATTCAGTAGAAGTTTGATGCACACAGATATTATAAATAAAGTAAAATAAGTTATTTGATGACTGTTTCATGCAACATTCAACATGAGAAGTTCTTTAATCTTTAAGCGATTTATATCATTCTGTAGACTCGTACGTAGCGAAAAGTGCAAGAAAGACATCAGCATTTGGAATCAACTGATACGTCTGAAAACTTTCGATTGCATTAGCCGAGAAAACCTAATCAATCGTCTTGCCCAGCTCATCTAGTAAGTCCCTTACGATATAAATTAGATACTAACGCACTTAATCCTCAACTCAAATCAATTCTGTATTAATCAAAGATAAAAGAAATCACGAATTTCACGAAAATATGGCTAAAATCTCAAATTAAATGAACTTTTACTTGTATCATTAACATGGAAAAAAGTAAACAGGTAAATAAAAAGCTGAGGTCATAATGAAATGGAAAAGAAATAGAAAATTGTTTAAAAATAGAACACCTGTTTGAGATTTATGTTTTACATTTTAATGAACATAATAACCTGGAAGACTTATTAGTAATTTTAAATAAAAATATTTATTTTTGGAACTTCTTCAAATTCGTGGATCCTAGACAGACTTCTTTTCCTTAAAATCTCATCTTCAGAATGAATTACTTTAGTTCCTTAGTGAAAAGCCCTGTCGTGACGAAATATTATTATCCCAGTAAAAAAAAATCAATTATCAGAACATGATGAGGTTTACTTAACCCTTGTGTCCTACATTGTAGTAAACAGAATAGTTTGGAATCTATTTGTCTGGAGGGTCTGTCGTTAACGCCGAACGAAGGTATACGGTTGTTATTGGCATTGTACAACTCTCGTGAAACAGTGAAATACGTGTATTGTTGGCGGGCATTCGAGAAAATGGTAAGCATTTCAATGGACGGTGATCATCGTGTTGGATCAAGATTTTATGCGGATAAAAAGATCGAGAAATGCGACTGGTTCCGCGCGATTGGCTGCTTGGAGTGTCTCACCACCTTGTCTATAAATTATGCGTATATAGCAACACCCACGGGAGATCTACTTATCAATCTCGCCAAGTATATTTGACTACTATATTTTTAATCTTTTGCATGCATTAATATACCACTCAATTACAGTGATTGTAGAATGTATTCGTACACCGATCAATTTCCCAAAAATCTTTTGTGTGAAATTGTAGTTTCTTAACTTCTTTTTTTATAATCAATGCTATTTTACATATTCTCAAAAGTCTCTAAGATAGATATAGTCCAAACAACATTTACTAGTTGATATTATTTGTGAAATTAATCAAAAAATGTGAAAAGTGGGTAAAAGTATAGAAGCAATAAGTATTTGTACGACTCTTATGACGAACCATTTACAGTAGAGTTTGTAACGAAAACACATTAGTTTATTGCTCCGTGCGAATTAGAAAACATCAAATTTCCAGTAAAATACTTTCAAAGATGGCTCTAATACAGGAATGGAAAATGATTCCACGTCGAATAACTAATAATTAGACTGCGGATCTTTATGGAAAATAAAATCTTAGCGAACGTGCCTACAAAAATTGAACCTAAATAAGAATATATTTTATTCTGGAAACATTATAACATGAACTTTACTTTCGATCTTTTTTATATTCTTGCATATTGTGTGCATTTTATAGGTTCTTGCACATTCAAATTTCCTATAAATGCATAAAGATCCGCAGTCTACTAATAATTTAGTTAATTTAATGCTTGGAAGAGTTACAATAATTATAAAATCAGAAGGAAATCCCACGAAGGAAGTATTATACACATATAAATTAATGTAAATTTCTTTTTTCTTTTAATCAAGTTTTAAAAATTAAACAATTGTGCGAATACTTATTGCTTCAACATTTCGATCGATTAATTGTCTTTTTTTTGTTAATTTCGCAACTTACATAAATAGCTATTTTTTTTTGTAATCCATCTATTCTAGAGATTTCAGAGAATATGTAAAATGTTATTGTTTATAAAAAATAAGTTAATAAATTACAATTTTACACAGTTCTTTTGGAAATCGATCGGTGTACGAATACTTTCTACACCCACTGTATAGTTCAATGACCAACTATTACACTAAAATATGACTATATTCGTCTCATGATATAATTTTAGTTCCATTCATAACACTTTCGTATCTTCAAATCCAACACAGATATTCGGGTTTTCTGTTTTCCGTAGCTCACCTTAATTATTTAATTCGATCGCAGGAAACTTCAACGAAATTGGCAATGGTTGCAATTGCTTTGTTTAGAGGAAGAAATTCCGCAAAAGACTGTATCTGGAAATAGGGGAGTAGTCTTAATACCCGACAAAGCTTGGAGGAAAGCTCACATTTTATCGCCGGCATTAAAAATACAATATGCAATCAGTATGAAATGACTTTGTGATATAACAAATAATAAATTTAACATTAAACTCATACGTGTTACTATATCAATTATGATATTCCAGTTGGAATACCAGAATACGATAATCACAAAAAGTTTTTCACAAAAAACACCCAAATACATACATTTGCATTATCTACATGTGTTGATCTAAGATTTCGTCAACCCTGGTTTCTGGATTGCACGATCAAAACACTTTGTTCGTGGTATTCGAGTTCTCTAGGTAAACTAATAATAAGCAACGAAATAATTTACGTACAAAACATTAGAATCAAACGAATAATATCTATTTTAATAATATCTATCCCAGTATATTTATGTCTACAATTGTGGCACAATCGCGAGAACTTGGATAATCAATTAAGAAAGCTGTTTCTTGATTTACCGTCGCTTCGAGTTTTCGAATTTATCGGTGAAATTCGAATGTTAAAAACATTGTGTGCTATGTGCTGTCAGATACGATCCGGCAGTTGCAGTAATTATTTAATATATAGCTTACCTATAATTCAATTATTAACAATTCAGTTATTAACAATTACTATGTATTACAGATGTTTGTCGGGTCAATATGCAACTTCAAGAAATTATACACGATGACATAGACAAAGAAAAATGGATGAAGGGTATAAAGTGTTTGATGGTTTGTTTTAAACATGATTTTGACATAATGAACGTTAAATTTGACATTAGCTTTTATAGGTTTTGAGAAAAATACTCGTTTTATGAAAGCAAAAACTTTATAATCATTACAATAAATATAGCTTTTGTTGTAAAAAATACTAACAAAGATAATGTTTCCAAAAATGCAAATTATATTAATGCACAATAAAAATTGCTATTGTAGCAATTTATTTGTTCTTGTATATTACAAATAAGTTATTCCATAAAGTTTTTTTAATATATTACTACGGTTCTGTTGATTCTTGTTGTTCAAATTTGGGATACTTTGCTTCAACTTCAGACCATGTAATTTTACCGTAAGATAAGTCCCTCACTACGGTCGGAAGTTCATCCAACTGCAATTAAAACAATAATTTATTTTTTCTCAAATTATCCATAATTTTCATGTCAGTCTTCTAAAATATATTTACTTACATTTATTCTAACTTGACCCATACTATCCCTTTCGCGCAGTGTAGCGCTATGAGGTAACTTTAAAGTATCAAAATCTATAGTAATGCCGAATGGTATCGCTATTTCATCTGTTCGCGCATATCTGCGTCCGATACTGCCAGAAGAATCATCTACTTTATGAGAAACATCCAATTTTGTAAGATTCTGAGCTGTAAATAATAAACAACATTTAAATCCATTTTCTTTCCTATCGAAACGTTTCGATCTATAACATACTTTTGAAAACCAATACACTTACATAATTGTTTTACAAACGGTACAAATTCATCATTACCGCTAAGTGGTAATACAGAACACTTTAAAGGTGCCACAACTGGTGGTAAAGAAAAATAAGTTCGTTTCTCATCACCTTCTCTTGCTCTAAAATTATGTTCAAAGACAGCATACATTATGCGCCCAATACCAAAAGAAGGTTCGATTACAGACGGAATTATTTCTTCAACGTGTACAGTTTTCTGATACCGTTTTACTTGAATCATGTCCTTTGTAATTTTGGCCTCGGTATCGGAATCGGTAGTAAGTTTCAACAAATATTCTCCATTATCATTAAGCTGAGTTTCTATGATATTAATTTCAGTCTCAGATAATGCTGCCAATACATCTTGAACCAATTTACTACATTTCTTAAACGTTTTACCGATTAAAACTTTATTTAGTACTATTTCACATACGTCAACATTTTTCGGTGCTGGTAATTTTTTCTCTGCTACAAGTTTTACCCCAGTAGCTTTAGTGTGTTGTGTAAGGTCATAAGCGGAGCGATCTGCGCAGCCAACGCATTCAATCCAACCATAAGATGTCAAACATTCAGCATCCCAACAATCACATGCATAATGAGCCATTTCATTTGCCATGTGTTGACGAAAACGTAATTTTTTTGGATCAACACCAACTTTTATTAAAAATAGATAAATTCTACCCATGAAGTACCCTAATGTTTCATTAGCTATAAGTTTTGTTGCTACTGCATCACCTAAAGTTATGTGTTGTGCACTTTTTCCATCCATCTGATTGCAAGCAGAATATAACAATAAGCTTAAATCTTTAACTCTCTCAAATTTGGAATGATTTTTATCACTTGGATCACAGAAATGTTCTATTTCTGCCATGGTGAACTCTCTGACTCTTATCAGACCAGATCTAGGAGAAATTTCATTACGGAATGCATTTCCAATCTGAGCTGCAGCAAATGGCAGTTTTTCTTGATTAAATGCAAGCAATCTTTTAAAATTTACAAAAATACCTTGGGCAGTCTCTGGTCTCAGAAAGCCTTTTATAAGACCTGATGGCCCAATTTGAGTTCCAAACATTAAATTAAACTCTATTGGCTGTGTTAGATCATTCCCAGAGATTGGGGACTTCATATTGAATTTGGATAGAACTGCAGCCATTTCATCTTTTGTCATTCCATCCAATTTAATAATAATATCTCTACATTCTGCACGAGTATTTTCATCAGTTTTCTTATCACTAATTACTTTTTCTAAATGTGCTTTGATTAGATGATCTAATCTGAAGCATTCTCCAGTCTTCACATCCTTTACCATTAAATCTGCGAATCTTTCAACATGTCCAGAAGCTTTGAGTACTGGTTCTGGTGTTAAAATAGAGCAGTCAACTTCTAACATTTGTTCTTCTAAGACAAAGAAATTTCTCCAATTATTTAACAAATTTGTCTTGAATGCGCAACCCATAGGGCCAAAATCAAATTGGCCAGTGATGCCGCCATAAATTGCAAAAGACTGATCCACGAAAAATCTACGCTTCAAAAGGTCTTCCATTCTTGCCCTATCAAATGTTGTTGTCTCTGAAAGAGATAATTCTTTATCCTCCAACAATTTTTTACGTAATTTGAGTTCAGCAACTGCCTTCTTGATATCCAATTCTGGAGCTCCATCAGATTTGAGTTTTCGAACATAATCACCCTTTAATCAAAAGCATAAATTTATAATACAATTAATTTAAAAGAAACAATGTTTAAATATAAAAATAATAATTAATAATGATTCAGAGGAAATGTAAAATCAAATTTGTTTTATTTAATATAGATTAATACTAACGATGATGAAATTTAATTGTCACTATGGAAATAAAATATAGGCTATTGCATGTGTAACTACATTTAACAGTGAATACTTATTATCCATATGGTACTTACTTGTTCTTTAACGCTAGTTCGAAGAGGTGACAGGATCTCTTCAATTTTCGGATCAGACATATCGGGTAAAATTTGTATTTTCACTTTTCGATGCTTCTTATTGGAACCCCAATCAAAATCGGCTAACCTAGCGTTAATTGAAAATTTACGAAAGGTTTGTTTATTGTTAACTAAGATAGTCTTACATATGCCGAGTGCAGTTCTTCTGCAAAGAAACAGTAGGTTATACGAAATGCAATGCATTCGCGATGCTTTCTATTCTTTAATGTATGGTTAACACGCGACTACCGCCTGACTTTTTCCACAAAGGAGGAATCGAGGGTACCTATTTCTAATAATACGCTACTGTTAGCGCCAACATTTGATATGAACTTCGAATAATTTCATTGTGAAATGACAATATGTTATTGCTAAATAATATCTTTAATTGTTCTTTGTTTGGCATATCTCAAATAACATACTGTTAGCGAAATGTACGAAATAATTAATATATACTTAGAAGCAATTCGTAACATTATTTTTTGTACCCTCGTAATATTAACGCTACAAATAAAGAACATTTATTCACTATAACGATACTCTTATATTTTTTTCATAAAGAATATATTCCAAAACAAATAACATGTTATAAATACAACTAAAAGATCTCTAATGAAAAAAGTTAGAAAATATAAAATATGACGCACATGATACGCAGTTATAAGTTTCTCATTTTTTTTTTATTAAATTAGTGAAGTATCACCAAACCAACTTATTTGTTACAAAAAAAATTGTTTCTCTTAATTTCGAATTACTTTATTTTCCTTGTACACCGTAGCATGGTTTATAGAAAAATTACAATTAGAGAAAAATGATTCGTTTCAAAAAACTTAGGTAAATATATAGTTTACTTCTAAAAATTGATTCGTTAATTATAATTTTTCGATGAAACCAGCTTCCGTGTGACACATTAAATCACATAATGTGCACAGAAGAAAGTGTGTACTCAAGAGTGATTTGTTCGTACTACCACAGGGATGTCGAAATTTTTTCGGGTAGATTCATTTCTTAATTACAATCTTATCATTTTGACATATAAGTAATAGATTCTTAATTCTACGCATTTACATGCACCATGTGTTAATTCCAAGTTAAACGGTTGGTCAGACATAAGGGTAAACGTTATACAAACAATTATATATATGCTTCAATTTCTCTGTATAACAACACTACAATCAAAAACAATCTCTTGATCAGTGTAAACAATTTATTTTACATAAGAGCAATACTCTGACATCAAAAAAAGCGATAATAATGCATAATGTATAGTAATAAATAAAGTATGAAATGTAAATAATGGGTATTTACAAGTATGTAAATGGCAAAAAAGCTATAACAGAGACAAAATAATTGTTTTATCTTCCGTAAATATAATCTCGTATGCACTTTGCAATAGATTCTGTCGCTTGTTTGCAAAATTACATCTTACATTAATATCGCGTCATGTAATATCTGTACACTTAAAACCTAAAGAACGTGCAGCCATAACCACATACTAACATGTAAGATGTTTACGTCTCTTGCATGTAGCAAACATGTGACAGATTCGATGAGAAACACATACTAATAGTATCCAGCATGAGTGCTTATTTTCTATAATAATTCGTCTATAATATTTGAAGGGAGCACCATGATAAACGCGTACGCGGCTCTATATCCCACTTGGAAAATTGATTAAAAATCTCGTGCTTATACTCTCGATTAACTTACGTTAACATAAATGCGCAATTCCGATCCAGTACACTAACAACGTCAGTTATAACTCCTCGTTTCTATTAGTTTCACGCAAGAATCAAAGTTAAAACTTTGATTCAAAATGAAAATATATAAGCAGAAATGTCACACGAGAATAAATGACAAAATATCACAGTTCCGAGTTTGAAAAGTCGCTTCTGAAAATCATGGCTCTCCCTGTTCTTCTTTTATCTATGTTTCAAGACAGTCATGAACTGTAAGACATCCTAGTTAACAACAAACCTACATGCTACTATGAGATTATCTATTTCAGAAATCGTAACGTTTAGTAGTGATACATAGTCATATACAACGTGCTAAGGATGCTGTAAACTGTATACTGGCTGCTAAATGTTCCATGTAAATACTGTACGTATAATGTATGTAAAAAGTCAAAGGTGACACACAGATTCAGAGCATATTGTGTAAATGAAGCATAAATTCATTGTTTAACGATTAATGATTGAAGTTATGAAATCCGAAATAACGATGCGTAGTCTGCAGTTAACTTCTACAGAAGAGTGATGAACGATGTAAAAACATATAATAAAAATAAAAAGTATTGTCACTGCCTAAAATGTACATAATGGTACAATTGAAATATGAAAAACATTAAATTCTATGGTTATAAATATTATGTT